TTAAATCTGTGACTTTGATTACAAACCATCTGACCACAGGGGAGAGTTTCAACATTCTATGCTTGAAGTATTTTCTGATTTTGTATTTGGAACTCCTTCTTATCATCTCTATCACATAAGCTGTGGTGATAAGTTATTGTCAAATTGGGGAGTCTGAACGGCTGTGGCAACAGGAATTTTTACATGCATGTTTGTAGTCTGGAGCTATGGACAGCAACTGCATTGTTTCCATCACTTGACTAGGAATCTACTTCCACCATTTTGGCATGCATTGAAAGTACTTGCAGGTTGATATGCAATCTGCTTAATTAAATTATGAGCACACCTTCCTCGGTCTCAAGTCCTGAGGTATGACCCAAAGCTGGAGCATATGAGCTCCACTGGCTCATTCAACATTTATTGCTCATTTCTAATTGCTCTGAAAAATGTTGTGGTGAGCTACCTTCTTGAACCATTGCTGCCCTTTTCATGTATGGATCCCCATGATGAGGTTCCAGGATTTTGACCCAGTGACAGTGAATGAACAGCAATAAATTTCCAAAGCAGGATGCTGAGTGGCTTGGAGGGGAACTTCTACATGATGGTGTTCCTATGTGTCTGCTTCCATTGTTCTTCTGGATGGAAGTGGTCATGGGTTTGGAAAGTACTGTTGAAGAAGCCTTGGTGAATTTCTGAAGGGCATTTTGTGGGCAGTACACAGTGATGCTACTGTACAGCAGTTGTGGAGGGAGTGAATGTTTGTAGATATCATACCAATCAAGCAGGCTGCTTTGTCCTAGATGGTGTGAACTTCATGAGTGTTACTGGATCTGTACACATTCAGGCAAGTGAAGAGCATTCGTCAAACTTCTGACTTGAACCTTTACAAGATGGACAGGATTTGCAGCTTCAGGACGCTACAGGATTCCTGGCCTGAGACTTGCTCTTGTAGCCACTATGTCTAAATGGATAGTCCAATTTAGTTTCTGGTAAATGGTAACCATCAGAAGGTTGATAGTGGGGCATTTGGTGATGGTAATACCATTGAATTTCAAGGAGCATTGGTTAGGTTCTCTTTCTTGTTGGAGATGATCATTGCCTGGTACTTCTGTTTGACAAATCTTAACTTGTCATTTGTCAAACCTGGATATCAAGCACATATTGTAATTCTAACCATAACGGTATTGTGCAAGTCTTGTTGCATTTGAATGTGGAGGATATACTAACCTCCTACCTGAGGAGTTGTGAATGGTGCTGACTGGTATGCAATCATCGGTGATTATCCCCACTTCTGATCTCATGAAAAAAGAAAGTTCTTTGATGAAGCTGCTGAAAATGGTTGGGCCTAGGACACTCCCCTGAGGAACACCTGCAGAGATACCCTGGAGCTGAGATGACTGAGGACAGGAGCTGAGTGGCCCTGGCAAAACTCAAGCAGGGCATCACTGAGCAGGGTCATTGCTAGGGAAGTGCTGTTTTATAATGCTGTAAATGACACTTTTCCACCACTTTACTCATGATTGAGAGTAGGCTGACGGGTTGGTAATTGGCCAAATTGGATTTATCCTGCCTTTTGGGTACAGGACATACCTGGGCAATTTTCCACATTTCTGTGTCGATGCCAGTGTCCCAGCTGTATTAGAAGAGTTTGGCTAAGGGGGTTGGCAAGTTGCAGAGCTGCTGTTACTTGAATAGTTTGTGAGACAGTTCTCCTAATTTGGTACGAGCCTCCAGGCAGAGTTTGCAGAGCCAACAATTTTCCGCTGTCATTACTGATACAGGGTAGGCCATCAGGTTTTGTTCCTTTTTGTGATTGTTACAACTGATTGGTTTGCTCTTGGCTATTTCAGAATCCACCATCTTGCTGTGTGTTTGTGGTCACGTGTAGGCAGCATCAGGTACAGCAAACTTTTTTTCATGTTAGTGACTCAGATAAGAATTTATGGCAATGATTTCATGGTCTTCACTAGGCTTGTAATTTTGAATTTTTAAAGTTCAAATTCCACTGTCTGCCATGGTGCCCTTAGAACACAGATTACTAGGGGCAGCATGGTGGCTCAGTGGTTAGCACTGCTGCCTCACAGCACCAGTTACCTGGGTTCAAATCCACCCTCGGGCAACTGTCTGTGTGGAGTTTGCACATTCTCCCTATGTCTGCGTGGGTTTCCTCCGGGTGCTCTGGTTTCCTCCCACAGTCCAAAGATGTGCAGGCTAGGTGGATTGGCTGTGCTAAATTGCCCGTAGTGTTCAGGGATGTGTATATTAGGTGGGTTACAGCGGGATGGGTCTGAGTGGGATGCTCTGGGGTTTAGTGTGGACTTGTTGGGCCGAAGGGCTTGTTTCCACACTGTAGGGATGCTTAATCTATTTAGGTGTCTGAGTTAGTCATCTAGAGGCAACAGCACTACACAATGGTCTCCCCTCAGAGACAGGATGCTACCCATTCCTCCACAAGACCTATATATAATCATATCCATGCTACTTAGAGTAAAAGAAAAAGGAGCATTTCTTGCATCTCCTACTTACATTAATTTTTTTGTTGGCGTCTTAATACCTGCGCTGATGGAATAAGTACATTATCTCAGGTTTCCACCGTTCAGGGGGGAGAATCAGTTACAGTACTAAACATTGCTAACTCTTTTATTCACCCAAATATTTAGTTTGTGCTAGCAGTCTGATTCAAGTAATTCGGGATCAAAACAGTGAATGAGACATATACTTCTAATACAGCAATATTACATATCATCTACCAGATACGTTGCAGTAAAACAGCAAGGTTCCTGTGATAGCACCTTCTGAACCCATGACCCTCCATTATATACATGGACAAAGGTTGTAAAAAGCATAGGAGCACCACATCCGGCAAATCCTTCAGGTCACAAACTATCTTGAACTGGAACTATATCATTGTTCTTTCGCTCAGTCAAAATCCTGGAACTCCCTTCCTAACTCACAAGGACTGCAGCAATTCAAGAAGCTGCCTCACCACTAACCTCTCAAGAACATTTAGGGATGGGCAATGATGCTGGCCTTGTCACCAATGTGTGCCATGGAATAAAATAAAACAAAACATGGCTGTGATGGGCCATCTGTTAGAACGCAGTGATTTTTCAGTGCACTCCATGTCGGTCTTTGCTAGTTCAGAAAGTGAGGTTATGCCATTTATGGATTCCATGCCTTGTTTTTCTGCCTTGAATCTGACAACTTGTGGGAAGGTGGGGATTGAGGGCAGAGTTTGGGGGTGGATGCAAGGGGTAAGGATGCAAGGGGTCAGAAATGGTAGAAGTGAGAGGTCAGAAGGGAAAGCAATGGAGCTATGCTACCATGAGATGGCGGCAGACAGTATGACATCAAGGAGAAATGAAAGAAAGCAACACTTGGATACAAACCAGAGGGATTTTAACTTAACCTACCTGTTGAAAAACTGAGAAAATTGGGTGAAATTCTAGATTTCCAATCTGTTCCATTTGCTCTGCATTACAATTGGTTGGGAGTGAGTTATGTGGGAAGAAGGAGCTAAATAAGTGGAAGAATTATGGCTGGAAACATTGATTTTAAGCATTAAAGTATGCCAAGGAAGTGTTAAAAGTATGCCACTTCAGGATTCGTATGTATATGTGAGATTTCTAACATATTTCAGCAATAGGTGGCAATTAATTTCAAAGCTGAGTGGGTCAGATGGATCCAGAGATCGTTGCCAGTCGGCCTGCTTTCACTGGTTGGTTCAGCTTTGCTAGTCTCATGCGGGCAATTAGGTAGAATACTACACACAGCGAAGATAATTCTATCAAAGGAAGGAATGGGGGAAGAAAAGGCAAACTCTCTCAGGTGAATGTCTTCACTTGCATCATGGTTTGCTGCACATGATACGAAGCAAGCTTCCAGATTCAATGGGAGATTTACAATTGGTTTCAGCATGAGAAGAAACAAGGGGAAAACAGTTAAACTACTTCTAATTAAACAGTGACTACTGTCAAAGTAGGAAGAAACAGATGGTCCAAATTCTTCATGTCTCTGGCCACCCGGTATGAAACCATGTGTTTCTGCCCATCTCACAGCATTACTCCTACAAAACAGATGCCCAGTAATGGAAAATTGCACTTTGAATTAGTCATCCACACTCCAGATGTGTTTTGCGTGCATGTATTTTACACAAATCGATTCTCTATGCTCCTTGGAGCAAATGCCATTATCATGTTATCCTAGAGGGAAAGCTGTGGCACAGTGTCAAAGCATAGTCACAAACTGCGTCCAATGTTTTATTCATGGCTCTGAATTAATGCAGATCGATGCCCAAGATAAGCTTTCCAGGAAATCACAGCACTAAATACACACATCGACATGCATGAGCAGCGTGTGACAGGAAAAACAGGCATGAATAAATAGTTACACAGCTCCACAGATTGCTCGCGGACATCACACTCCACATGAGACACACATCATGCATAACAAGCAAGTTACCCGCAACCATGCAAAACTCTCAACTCACAGTGAAATGCTTTGGTGTTATTTTCATACAGTATTTACATAGAGAGAAACTTCATTTGGTCCAATGATTAATTACAAGAGTTGCACTCTTTATATTCACATAATGAATCAGCATTCACACTTGAAATTATTCAGGTGTTGTATTTTACAGTCTACAAAATGTATCTTCAATTCTGAAAACAGGTGAGGCATATGCAATATGTTGTCAAGTCCAATAAATTCAGATTAGAAAATGTTCTTTTAAAAAAGCTGCTGCATTTTGAAAGTTTAGTTTCTCAGTCAACGAACTTCCAAAACAGTATAACACTGACATTTTAAGGATTATAGATGAGCTCACTACATTACAGTCACTTTGAATGAAGTCTTTATTTATAAATGGAAATTCCAATTACATAATTTGTATGCCTTGTGATGTGCTTCTTGAGTAACTAATATTATATCGACATAATCGACTACTTGCTATTTTACCTACAGTCAAATCTCGTGCTGCACTAAATGTAATCATATAAAAAGAACAAGGATAAAATGCTTACCATCATCACATGTGAAGTCCTGGATTGCCACGTCCTGGATAGGAATTTCCTTCAAGAAATAGGGCTTCTGGCAGCGAGGGTTTCCTGTGACTATGCGTTTCTTTCTTAGCCATTCTCCCAACCAGGCCAAATGGCAATTGCAGTTAAAAGGATTGGCTAGCAGATTTCTGAAGAGACCAACAAGAGATTAATCACTGGAGATTGACCTTACATTTATATATATCATAAGTCAACATATAATAAGAAAAGCATTATTCCAAAGTATGGCTTTTGGCATATCTCGTGTCAGTCTGAAATTGTGTTTAAGATACAGTTCTAAACATGCAGTGAATTTTATGTGAATTAGCATTCAAGGTGTAAAGTTGCAAAATTACTGCTTATGGTTTAGTTAAATATCTCCAAGTGCAGTCAAATGTTAATAGTTGGGTGAATGATACATACAATCAGGGCAGGATGACCAAAATGATTTAAATCTCAAAATGTTTTTAATTGTCCGGCATCACGGTATTATTGGCATCCTGTAATTTCATAGAGCCCAGCCAAATCATAATTTGTGGCACAAGGTCCAATATAAATACAGGTGAGGTTGAATTCTTGTGTGGATCAGGGGTGAATAGAATTACTAGCATTTACTCTCAGCTGCGCCACCATTGATAAGATCTCTACTTTTCCATTGTTTTTGTTTTATGAAATCAAAGGATGCAGCACAAGGTAAGGTTACGGACGTTGGAAACTGTCAAAGAGAATTGATGCAAATCTAATTAGAAAGCAGTGATTAAGTGACATCAAACTTGGCTTTAGGGACTTGCAGCTTGCAGAAAGAAAGGAATTAACAAGGGCAGCATTTCCATTTTTTTATGATCTAGGAAAGAATAGGACAGATAAATACAGAATGAATCAAAATTTGAAAAGAACTTGAATGTGCAAAGTGAAGAAAGGATCTCTGATTAGAAACAAGAGAGAAATATTTAGAAGAGTTCTAATTTCCAGAATCACTGACATGAAATGAGAAACTGTGAAGTAAATTGAAACCAAGAACTGCGCATTGTGGAAATCCAAAACAAAAACAGAAATAGCTGGAGGAACTCAGCAGGTCTGGCACCAACTGGGGAGAGAAAGCAGTGTCAATGTTTCGAGTCCAGTCACCCTTCAGTGAACTCAGAGACTGTGAAGGACTGACAGAGAAGTTGGAATTTAGAGCCAAGAGAAGGACTTCCATTCAGAAGAGGGGAGTAGGCCAACTAGCCCCTTAAGCCTGTTCAATCATTCAGTGAGACCATTGCTGATCTTGACTTAACTCCAGATATCTACCCTTGCCTCTTATCTCTTAATGCCTTTGGTGTACAAAACTACCCTCAGTGTCATATCTAAAAATAATAATATGATATAGTATCAATATTTTAAATCTAAGTATGCTTCTGGTAGATCAAAACTCCACTCCTTCCAAGGCCAATATATCCTTCCTGAGGTTGGGTGCCCGGAACTGCTCTAAGTTCTCTAGATGTGGTCTAACTAGGGCTTTGCATTTCTGGCACATTGCCTCAACTCCCTTCTATTCCCTTCCTCCAGGTATAAAGACAACTAATCATTTTGATTACTTTTTGTATCTTGTTTAATGATCAATATAGACAGGCTCCCAAATCTCTTTTGACTATCACTGTTTCTAGCTTTTCACCACTTAGAAAGTATTCTGTTCTATTATTTTAGGTTTCACAAATGTGTTTTCGTAACACCAACCCAACATTTAATGATGTAGTTTCATACAATATGCAATTGTTGTGAGGAAACTGTTATCATAAATGAGAAATTTCACACTGTTATGGAGAAATGTTTTTCTGTAATTTGAACTTAAGCACATTGTGCAGCGATTAAATGGAATTCAGTTTCATATCTCATTGTGAAATAAGTAATCCTGAGTATTCAGTGTTGGTGCTAGATGCCTGAAATGGAAAATAGCTTTATTCCCTAGTATCCTCACTCACCTCATTAGACAATAATCGGACATGTTGGTTTTGAGAGTAACTTTCAGACTCCTGAAGGAAGGGACACTTGGGTTTGAGCTGAGCTGAGTAGTAATGACTATACAATCATAAACCAGTCAGGAACTACATCTAGTCTCCTTGACTTTATTAATATGGGCATAGAGGATGACACCAAGGAGGTGATGTTGAACTTAGATAGGATGCTTGTTAGACCTCAGCTGGAGTAATATATACAGTTCTGGGCACCACATTGTACAAAAGATGTGAACACACTGGAGGTAGTTTAGAATTGATTTGTAAGAATGGTTCCAGAGATGAGAAATTTCAGTTAGGAGAATAAATTTAAGAAGGTGGGTCTGTTCTCCTTGAGGAGTGGCAGATGGAGTTCAAATTAGATAAATATGAGGTGCTGCATTTTTGAAAGTCAAATCAGGACAGGACTTATACACTTAATGGTAAGATCCCGGGGGAGTGTTGCTGAACAAAGAGAACTTGGAGTGCAGGTTCGTAGTTCCTTGAAAGTGGAGTCACAGGTATATAGGATAGTGAAGAAGGCATTTGTTTTGTTTGCCTTCATTGGTCAGTGCATTGACTATAGGAGTTGGGAGGTCATGTTGTGGCTGTACAAGGCATTGGCTTAACCACTATTGGAATACTACATGCAATTCTGTTCTCCCTGCTATAGGAAGGATGTTGTGAAACTTGAAAGGGTTCAGAAAAGATTCACGAGGATGTTGCTAGGGTCAGAGGGTTTGAGCTATAGGGAGAAGCCAAATAGACTGGGGCTATTTTTCCTGGAATTTTGGAAGCTGAGGGGTGACCTTATAGAAGTTTATAAAGTCATCAAGGGCATGGATATGGTAAATAGACAAGGTCTTTTCCCAGGGGTGCGGGAGTCCAAAACTGGAGGGCATAGGATCATGGCGAGAGGGTAAAGATTTAAAAGGGATCAAAGAGGCAACATTTTCATGCTGAGGGTGGTGCGTGTATGGAATGAGCTGCCAGAGGAAGTGGAGGAGGCTAGTACAATTACAACATGTAAAAGGCATCTGATGGATATATGAATAGGAGGAATTTAGAGGAATATGGGCCAAATGCTGGCAAATGGGACTAGATTAATTTAGGATATCTGGTCGGACTGGACGAGGTGGAACAAAGAGTCTGTTTCTGTGTTGTATGACTCAATGGCTGCAGTGAGAAGAAAGGCCAAGAAATTTGCTAGAGGTTTTCAAAATTATGAAAGAGTTGGATTGACTGGATAGGGAGATACTGTTCTTGCTTGTAAAAGGATCAGTGAATTAAACTCTGAGAGAATTAGAGTGACTTGCAAAAGATGCAAATGAGAAGTGAGAAAAAGAACATTTCCACACAGCGAGCAGACACAGTATGGAACACACTGCCCAGAGGTGTGATGGCACAAAGTTCAATTGAGACATTCAAGAGGGTATTGGATGATCATTTTGATAGAAATAATGTGGAATGGTATGGTGAAGCAGGAGAATGGAAGAGGTAATAATACTTGTTTGAAGAGATGATGCAAACATAATGGGCCAAATCGCCTCTTTCTGTGCTGTGAGATTTCTGTGGTTCTGTGAACTCAAGCTAAGGTGAACTTTGCTGGAACTGCAATATGACAGGAATAGATATGATCATGAGATGGTGACGCATATCATAATGTAAAGTGATGTGTAAGAGATGTGAGGAAGGATGGAATAGTCTGTATTAGTGAGAGATGTACTTATAGAGAGAAGAGTGAGATAAAATAGTGTAAATAAAAAATTTGCAGAAGACAAGCAGGGGCAGAAAACCATCAGTCATTGGTGAAGGGAAACCATTACAGGCCACAACCTCCTAGGAGAAAGAAAGATATCCATCTCTCCAGTGTGCAGAATAGAACCCTGAGCCATAGCTTTGTGCCAGCACAAAGCAAGGACAAACAACATTTCTGGTGCCAAATGTTTCTAATGCATCTATCACACGTTTTCAGTTTAAATGAAGCCACACAATCCAGAACATAATGCTTGCAGCTCATTCAGTTCTACTTCAAATTGTCAATGAACTTCAGCACATTATCAAACTGAGCTGACCTAATAAAAAGTTAATTCAACTGGAAGATGAAAAGGTGAAGCTACAGCGACTTACACTCAGATTGGATTTTTACTTTACAAGGGCCATTTCATTAATGTGTCATTTCCAGACCTCCATCACTTATTTGCATGAGCAAATAGGTTTCCCTTTCGAGCTGACAGCGACACTGATTATACTGATGACATGTCACTTCCAAAAAATGAATTTCCTACTGAAAGTTTCATTGCCCTCAAGAAACTAAACCCTTAGCCAGAAAATTCATATATGTGAATAAACATAAAGAATGCTTGTTTTATTTTGTAAAACTAAATCACAAATTAAAATGCTTTGGCATACATGCAAAGAACACAAGTCATCAATACTGAAAATGAAATGCCACTTTGTTGAAATGTCCCTCCTTTAGTTTCTCATTATACCTCTTAAAAACTTACAGTGTAGACAGAGAGTGGAGAGTATCAAATGCTCCTGGAGAAATGGTAGTTATCTGATTGTCATAAAGAGAGAGTAGGCGAACAGAACTCAGGCCTGTGAACGTGTTATTGCTCACACAACCAATTTTATTGCTCCTCAGCATCCTGCAGGATAGAAAACAGAATTATTACAATATGATCAGAGGTAGCATTATACAAGGAACAATCCAGCCTGTAGACAGTGTCTAAAACTGTAGTGCTTCACAGTGAGAAAGTAAATATTAGCTTAAAAAAAATGCTCGAAGGTTTGAAAATGTAAAATGTGTTACAAAATATCCAAAGGTATTTGTAGAAATTGCAACAATCCTCAGTCTCCAAGCTGACATTGATGTTACTGCACTAAGATAAATTACCATATGGATTGGAAGTACTTTAAACAGAACTGGAGAAGCCACAGGGTTGCATGAATATCAGAGTAATTCTGGAATAGCTGAGTTTGTTGGAAATATAGGAACAGAATAACTTCATGACATTATCTGTGGATAAAAAGAAAGCCTGTGCTTTGGAATTAATTCATGCCCTAAAGCACATCTGACTCAGCTGAGACACTACAGGATCACAGCACCTTAGTAAAAATACTTCTGTATTTCTATAAAAGATAAAGCAAGTAATGGTTCAATGTTGCAATATTTACATCTTACACCAGGAGAACTAAATTTCTTAATGCCAACTCCTTCCTATTCTACAGCTGTAATAATAAGCCAACTGTTCAGTTCACATCAACAAAACTTCAGCCCTTCATCGGTTTAAAAGTTCCAAAGCTTTATATACATTCTCTGATCTTTTGCTTGCTATCTGGGCTTAACTAGATGCATCTTTACGGCCAGAAGGCTAAAGGATAAATGGCAATGACATTTGTAAACTCAGCATTAATTTTTTGCAGATTAGGCATTTCAAAAGTCTTACCCTCAGCTACAGCTGAAGCAAAACTCATTCAGGAAACTATCCATGGCTACAGCTGCCTTTATGACATAATCTGGAACTTTTTTGTTATTTGTTCAATGGACATTGCACTGGCATTCACTGCCATCCTTAATTGCCCAGACAGCAGTTGAGAGTCAACCACATTGTTGTGGGTCTGGAGTCACATCTAAGCAAGACTGAGTAAAAATGGCACATTTCCTTCCCTAAGAGGCATTAGTGGGTTTTTGTAATCCATCAATTGACAATAGTTACATGATCACCCATTAGGCTACATTTTAATTTTAGATATTTTACTGATTCAAATTTAAACACCGAACACAGTGGGTTTTGAACTCATGTATCCAGAACATTAATCTAGTTTTCTGGATTACTAAACCGGTAACATTACCACGACCGTGCCACGTCCCCATCAGTTCAGTCCCAGTGAGTGAAGAAGTTCTTCACTAACTCTTTTCTGTAATTTTCTCAGTTCTTATTTCGAGAGCACTAACCTAAGCTGATTGTCAGCTGCTCTCTGGTAGTTTTCCCCAATCTATGACAGCAAGCAGCTAGAAGAACAAGACACATGGGAACTCCAATGCCTCCAAGTTCCCTTCTAATTCACGCACCTAATACATCAAGCTAAAGGGGCACCCTTATCAAGATAAAATAAATGTAAACTGTTTTGCTAGTTATTAACAAGTGGTGGCGTTTTATTAACCCTGAAGGCAAGCTAGGAACTGGGGGCATGTTTAGTCAGGTGGACATTCCCATCGCCTTTCTGACTTGCTCCAACTAAGCTCCAGGTGGGAAGTATCAAGGACAGCCTTCCCACCCAGATGCCAATTGAGGCCTGTAAGACACCACTTAAAACAGGGTTTCTCAGAGTTGCGGAGAGGGGGTGCTGGTGGTCTAAGTGGAGTTGCGAGCTGAAATTCTGGATCGCGCTCTCTGAGGCAGTAATGGTTGACCCCCCTCTCCTTACCCTCCAAAGTTTTTTTTCTTCTAGCCCCAACACTCACTGAAGAGTCATGACAATTTTCAAGCCTCAAAATGGGGCTAGAGTAGGAAAGAGCCTGGGAAAGACTGACAAAGAGTCTCATCCTTATGGTGCTGGTATTCTACTAATGGCAGGGCACAAACCTTGTGAGGTCTGCCTGTAACATAGTACGGGGTTAGTGTTACCATGGACTCAGACATGAGAAAGGGTTCACTGGAACCTATTCCCTTTCCTTTCCATTAACTCTCCTCCCCAAATGTGTCTGCATTTTTCTCTCCGCAATTTCTATAGCGAGTTATTTATCTCTCTCTGAAACCTCCACTTGTGAAGCACAGACCTAGAATTTGCCAGCACTCTCAGTGGTGCTGTTGGTACCGGAGAGCTGCCAGCCTCTGATTCGTAACCACTCTTGGGCATGGGATACTTGTACCACATTAGATGGTTGGGCGCTTTGATATCACCAGTGGGTTAGGTGACATCAGACGCACGATTCACATTACCAATTAGACACTTAGTTCATTGAGGCTACTCGAAATCCTGTCTTGCAGGCCTGGAACATCACTGCCTGTACTGTAATCCATCTAATGATATAAATCATGTCAAAAAATGCAGGATTCAAAAATATGTGCTATTTCTCACATCTGATATCACTGTAGTGAAAATAAAAAAATGGTTCCTAACAAATCTGAATACAGGTTAGTTAGAAGAATAGGCCATTCAGACCTTCAAGCCTGCTCTATTACCCACTAGGATCATGGCTGACCTGATTGCAACCCCAACTATCCCTGATAGCCTTTGACTTCCTTGTTGGTCAGAATCTATCTCTGCCTTAAAAAATAGTCAGTGACTCAGCCTCCACTGCTCTCTAGAGAAGAGAGTTCTAAAGACTCATGATACTTGAAGAGAGAAAAAAAAATCTCCTCATCTCCGTCTTAAATGGGGAAGACATTTTACTTTAAAATTGTGTTGCCTAGTCTTGGTGTCTCCCACAGGGGAAACAACCTTTCTATCCAGTCTGTCAAATCCCCTTAGGATCCTGTGAGTTTCAACAAGATCATCTCTCAATCTTCTAAACTCCAAAGAATACAGGTGCAGCCTGTATAACCTTTCCTCATAAGATAAACCTTTCTTTCCGAGTTATCTGTTGAGCAAACACTCTTTGAGCTGCTCTCACACAATTATTTCCTCTCTTAAATATGGAGACTAAACTGTATACAGTACTCCAGATGAAGTCTCACAGAAGCCTTATACAACTGTAGCAAAACATTGTAGGAGCAAATTATTGCAGAAGCTGGAATCTGTACTGAAAACAACAAATGTTGGAGATCACAGCGGGTCAGACAGCACATGCAAGCTAATGTTTCAAGTCTAGATGACTCTTCAGCAGAGCTGAAGCGAACTGTGGAGGGGGCAGCATTTATGCTTTAGTTGGGGAGTTGGTGTGGGAGTGATCGGGTGTAGAGTGCTGGGGGAGAAAAGATGTTGACAGTTCAGATTAAGTGATCAGACTGTGAGAATAGCAGAACAATGGTGTGTTTAACTGCCAGACTTGAAAGAACAGACAGTCCCACTGGGGTGGGCGGAGGGGAGAGAGGACATGGTGAGTAGGGAGGAGGTGAAGGGGCAGGTGTCGCACCTTCTGTGGTTACATAGGAAGGTACGTGGGAAGGGGCTTGGTGGTGTTAGTCATTGTAGAATGGACTAAGGTGTCCCAGAGGGAATGGTCCCTATGAAATGCAAACAGGGGGAGTGAGGAGAAGATGTGTTTGGTGACGGCGTTCTAATGGAGTTGTCTGATTTGGCAGAGAATGATCCTTTGAATGCAGAGGCTGTGGGTGAAAAGTGAGGACAAGGGGGACTCGATTACACTGTTGTGAGTGATGGGAAGGGGCAAGGGTGGAAGCACAGGTGATAGGTCGGATGTGGCCCTCCTTCACCCCAGTGGGACTGTCTGTTCTTTCAGGTCTGGCAATTAGACACATCATTGTTCTGCCATTCTCACAGTCTGATCACTTAATCTGATCAACAGCCTTTCTCCCCCATCACTCTCCACCCACCACTCCCACACCCACTCCCCAACTATAGCATAGATGCTGCCCCCTCCACACTTCAGTTCAGCTCTGTTGAAGAATCATCTCAACTCAAAGTGTTAGCTTGCTCTCTTTTCATGGATGCCGTCGACCTGCTGTGACATCCAGCATTTGTTGCTTTCAGTGCAGTAGAACATTCTTACTTTTATATTCCAGTCTCCTTGCAATAAATTATAACATGCATTTGTCTTCCTAATCACCTGCTGTACTTGCATACCAATTTTATACGATTCAAGGACCAGGTTACCCAGATCACTCTGTAATGCAAAGTTCTGCAGCTCTCTTCATTTAAACAATACGCTACTTTGCTAATCTTTCTGTTAAAGTGGACAAGTTCACATTTTCTCACATTCAACTCCATCTATTAAAATGTATCCACTCATTTAAGCTCTCTCAGCCCGAGCAAAAAAAACAGTTAACAGTAAGGTTCTTGCAAAGCATTGTAAAATATTGCAAAGTAATGGTCAATTTAGAATGAAAGAATTTGTATTTAAAGGCTAGGATTTTCGCTCCCAAGTGGAGAGTGTAGAATGATGAAAGGCTCAAACTCAAACATTAAATTTTGCAAAAGGTATCCTGGATTGTCAAAGCTCACTTTGGCTGTGGCATGGATGTTAAATGGAGTCAGGTATGCTGCCCCAGAAAGAGTACTTAGTCAGGCACACGGGCTTGTGGGTGGTTAGATGGACTGTGGAATACACCTGGTATAAAAATCTAAGACTTCATCCCAGCTTTTAGAAAAACCATAAAAGACCCTTCCTTCACTCGCAACCTCTCATATTCTATAGCCACCCACGGTCCTCCACGCCACTCTATGGGTTCGATACACCCATGGCATTGTACTCTCCATGCCAACCAGTTCCCCATGCTCACTCGCATGGTTATTCATTTCCTCCATATTAATTTATGCCCCTTCAATCGTCGTTCATACGTGCCATGCCAAAATTACCCTCTCCCACCATCCTTTGCCCTGCACCCTACATGTCAATTCAATCATTATTAACCATGAGGAGACCTCAGGACCAATGCTGAAATGAAAAAAAAATTCTAAGTGCCAATGAATTTACTTTTCAGAAAAATTCCATTCATTAAAAACCCATTCACCATATTTAATTATCTTCAACTTCTTAATTACTTCTAAAAACAAGCATTGTATTTATAACACCATTTTAAAACTCAATAAGCATTTGGAGTTGTCAATCAAACTGGGAACTAACTGGCATCCCATTGTGACAATAGTAGGTTGTGAAATCAGTCCGAGAACAGAAATCACATAAACCTTTTGGTTTATGTGTCAACAGGCAGAGTGAAACATCAGGGATGTTTTTTAACACTAAGTGTTTTAAGTTTATTGAAGTTGATAACTTCTCAATAGCTCACTCAATAGCTTGCTTGACACTTACAATGAGATTCAGACAATTCTAATGAATCTATCCACTTTTTACACACAGGTATCTCTACATTACTGACTCCAAAGGGAATTGATATCAACAAAAGCGTACCTCACCTCTCCCAAAGGGCACCTCACCTTTCCCCAAGGGCACCTAACCTCTCCCAAAGGTGTCCATGGACCTTTCCAAAAGAGTACACTACCTTGTTAAATAACTTGGGCAGCTTTGGATCTTCCCCTAATTGGTCTAATCCCACAAGACATGTTTTGGACATCTTACTAATAAAAATTGGAACTGGTCAAAGGAATTTGCATTTTTATATGTGTAGTTGCCTCTGTGCGCTATGGCTCTGCAAGGCACAAACTACCTCCATTCTTCCCCTGGCAAAAAGGTAACTGCTAGCTTCAGACATAGGAATTTGGCAATCAGGGGCCCGCTGATATTTCAAATAAACTGGTGACACCCTTCAACATTAAGAAAATTCAGGCCATGTACTCCCTCACCATGTCTCCAGAATTACAGTCAACTGGATTACTTTTGAAGTGTTGTAATATAGGCCAATATAGCAGTTAACTTTGCACACAAGGAAGTAAAAGATAGAATGATCAATTAATCTGTGTTGTTACAAATAATGTTAACCAATTAATGTTAACCAAACATTAGGAGCAGTTCCCATTTGCAATTTTCACTTACCTGAGCAACCCAAAAGGGTCTCAAGTTTATAATACATCTAAAATGCAGTTTTTCCTTTTTACTGCACTGAAATAACAACATTGAAGATTTTAATGCACACATTTCTGATTCAGGAGCAAGTTTGTAACCAACTGATCCAAGGTTATACCAATAAATACTCCCATTTGCTGATTTGACATTAAACACTTTCACACTTACAGAGTACCATGGACAATGGATTTAAGTCATCCAATCTCCATCTTCCTACTGGCTTTGAAGTGTCACACTTTCCTGGGTTCTATTAAGCAAACGGCAAATTGTGCAAAAGCACTCTATTCAACTGGATGCACAAACGTTACGTTTTCATAAATAGTACGCTAATTACAATAAAACAGGCAAATGCACTTATTCTTCTAAAACCTGAACAGAAATTTAAAACTGCATTTAGTACCTCCTACACCATGTCTGTGATGTTACTTTTGTGACATTATCACCATTTGATTGAGTGCTCAAATAATGTAAACCGTTGTATAGTGAGAATAAAAGGTCACTCTTTTTAACGTATCTATTAAAAATTGCACGTTTATCTCCTCATTAAATGTAAACTTTGCTAATTCAATTCTTTATATTGAGTGCTGAACTTCAGGATGTATACAGACTATCTAAACCCATGGAAAAACCTGGGCAGGGCATCCAAGGGGATAATGATGATGTTCATTATGACTCTGTTTTCTTCAGGTGAAAAAAACTGAAAGAAAAATCAAGAGTCAGTTATGAGAAGTTACAGTGAGGGACTTTGTCCAGTTGTGCAAAATGGAGGATAAAAAGCAAAACTGTTTTACTTACAATGTTTTAAGACTATCCAGTCCTTTGAACATTTTGCGGTGCACAGTTTCCAGACGGTTACCTGTCAGTAACAATTCATTCACACCGCTAGCTCCCTCGAATGCACCCTCCTCAATATCTGTAATCTTATTATTGCTCAAGTTTCTAAAAGACAAAGTGTGGAAGAAATTCAATAAGTCACAACCTTAAATGGAAGTGTTCACCTGAACTGGGCTTAAATGTCAGTTTTCACAGAACATAGAACAGTACAGGCTCTTCGGCCCACGATGTTGTGCCGACTTATTATCCTACTCTAAGATCAAACTACCCTGCATACCCTACATTTTAGTATCATCTATGTGCCTTACCAAGAGTCACTTAAATGTCCCTAATGTATCTGACAAATTTCAGCATATAAACTTTGCCTTATTTGGATATAGGAACCAAATATTTAGTGAAAGGCTTTGTTTTTTCATTTAGTAATCTGCTGAAGGTTTCAAAAGCCAACAATTAAATTCTACAAACATAATCAGATAGCACAGTGAAGCTTGCCTCTCCCTAACAAACACATTGGGAAGGAATTTATATCCTGTGACAGAACACAATTCAGGAGTATTGCTGATGTAACAGGTTGGAATTTGGAGCAGATCGACAAGATGCAAATACTTTATTTGTCCTCTGCCTTGTTTTTAATGCCCAAGTCAGGAAATGAATGCTGTATTTAAACTCTTACTGATACTCAAACAGTAGTTCATACTGGTAACAATATCTGTTTTCTAAATTAGCTCTTTGCCATCTTTTTCTTTCAATAAATACATTTGAAAAATCAGAGGCATCTATTTTCTGTATATAGTTAAAGGTGACTGTTATTTTGGGACTGTTGCACAGGAAGTGATGGAAGATTGTTGAACTTGCCCTTGGCTTGTGGTATCTGGCAGTGCCTGCTGTGCCAGCACAAGAGGTCAGCTGGCTGAATGTGAAATTTTGAGAGGTGCCTGTGCTCAACTTACAAAGATCTGCTTTTGGCAAAGCAGCTTTGGTAGCAGGCTAACTCCAATCTGCCTCACTAATCATGCTAACAGCATATTACAGGTCACTTGCGTAATTGTCTTAAATAATGTCTTTCTCAAAACAGAGTTGATAGAGATGGGAGCTGCCCACCAGCTGCACAGAGGAAAACTGCTCAAAGATTCAAGTTCAACTCACATTTTACGGAGCTGAGGGAGTTTCTTGAATATCCCAGTGGCTTCCAAAACTGTAAACTCATTGTTATTAAGGCGCCTAAAGTGTTCAAGTGAAAAATAAATTTAAGTCAGAAAAATTCTTCATAAGTGCATTTGTTAACCGAAACTTTTCACACTTCAAGCCTCTAGTTTCTCCAACATGAATCTGATGCTTTCTTTCAGGTAGATTTGATAAATACAATGTTGAACAATGAAACCAGATGGATATCTAAATACAGTGTCACTCTCACTTTCAAACGGGGAATTGAATCATGCTCCCTTCCACCAGGAGCGCAAAGCTTACCATAAAGGAAATGTGGGACTGAGTAAAGGTTTACTGAGGACCATGGAATTGATTTGCCTCAACGCTAATCATCTGCATGAGGCAGAAATGGATCATTACAATCACAGAACATGTGACAGTTGTTGTAGCACCTCTACTTGTCAGTGTTAATTTTGATTGAATCACCCTTACCCTTGAATAAAGAATGAACAATGCAGAAATGATAAAATTCAAAACTCTCTCAATTATCAACTTTCTCTCTTCTCCTAACGATTTTAACCCTATGGCAATCTTTACTTGGCAGCAGTCTCAGCTATTGTTACGCACACATTTTGATGGAACTATTCATTGTCCATTTGACAGGTTGGCTTTAAACATAGAACATAGAACAGTACAACACAGTACAGGCCCTTCGGCCCACGATGTTGTGCCGGCCTATTATCCTACTAAGATTAATCTACCCTGCATAGCCTACATTTTACTATCCTCCATGTGCCTATTCAAGAGTCACTTAAAAGTCTCTAATGTATCTGACTCCACTACCACCACTGGCAGCGCATTCCACACGCCCACCACTCTCTGTGTAAAAAACCTACCTCTGACATTTCCCCTATACCTTCCTCCAGTAATAGTCATTTCCGCGCTGGGGAAAAGTCTCTGACTATCCACTCTATCTATGCCTCTCATCATCTTGTACACTTCTATCAAGTCACCTCTCATCCTCCTTCGCTTCAATGAAAAAAGCCCTAGCTCCCTCAACCTTTCCTCATAAGACCTGCCCTACAGTCCAGGCAGCATCCTGGTAAGTCTCCTCTGCACCCTCTCTAAAGCTTCCACATCTTTCCTATAATGAGGTGACCAGAACTGAACACATTCCAAGTGTGGTCTAACCAGAGTTTAATAGAGCTGCAGCATAACCTCACAGCTCTTAAACTCAATTCCTCTGCCAATGAAAGCCAACACACCATATGCCTTCTTTACAACCCTATCAACTTGGGTAGCAACTTTGAGGGATCTACGGACGTGGACCCCAAGATCCCTCTGTTCCTCCACACTGCCGAGAATCCTGCCATTAACCCTGTATTCTGCATTCAAATTCGACCTTCCAAAAGGATTGTTCACAACTTCTACAAAGTTGCATTTTCCAGCTGGAGACACCAGGATGCAATAAGGACGGGGAGTCCTGGCTGACAATCCATCACCCTAGCCCTGACTGAGATCCAGCAAAAATTGGCGAAACCCAACTTCATGCCTCAGCTTCATGTTCCACCTTGCGGGTGCCAATAGAACAATTGAGATGAAAGGCTTCAAGTACAGGGCCTGAAATACAGTGCCTTTGGACACCAATTAAAATTAGACCACTCCGTTTACTTCTGTGAAAGGGAAACACTTTTGCAATAACAGAAGAACAGCTGCAGCTAGAATATAGGTATTGTGTGTTACAGGGCAATAATTCCAGGACATGCCTTTGACATTTTCCTTTGAATGACAGAAATTGGGCATGGGATTCAGCTCATTTGATTTACCTACATACATTTCTTCCTATGAATCACATAAACTACATCAGCCATTCCTATGGTTTGTACGTTGGGTATGCTGTCCCTATGGGTTATACATTGGGTATGCTTCTCCTGTAGGTTATTCATTTCATAAGTTGTCCCTGTCGTTTACGCACTTGACAATGCTGTCACTGTGGCTAATACAATGGGTGCACTATTCCCACTACATCAACTCCCAAGCAATACCCATGGCATCTATCTCTAAGTCACAAGGGCCAAACCAAGAAATTGGCCTCCATATTATTTAATATCTCTCAGTAGTGCAGACATAAAACAAACTTCCTTCAGTATTTAATGACTTGACATGTTATGCACACACAATCAATAGAAAATAATGGCTTATAAATTAACAAGATCAGTCTCTACAAAGTACATGGCTACTACTATCTAAATTCTATTGCATCTACAAAGCTTAGCTAACACTAGCACAGTTTTTAACACTCGCTAACAGCCATCTAAGTGATTATTTTTCCCCTTTTTTTCTAATGATCATGTGCAACCAACAACCTTTATCCATTGAGAGTACCTTCTTTCTTTCAGCACAAGAGATGTCGGTACTACTGCCTGAAGTGATTTTCTAAATAAATGCTAGCCTTTTATTTCGTTGCCAAAGTGTAGACGTGAAAGACTAAGCATGTAAGGGAGGAGCAGTGGGCTTGCTGTGCCAACTTACAACTCTGCAGTGTACTGAGGGATGTGATCAGGAATTTTCGTAAGTCTCTGATTGGAGCAGTCCACAGTGGTTCCCTCGCATCGACACTTTTCAGGGCAAGCAAGATCCAGGAAGCAGTCTCCGCTGAGTTTGGATCTGTAATCCTCTGTGCCTGCGGATTATTTGAGTCAAAACATGCAGATTATTCAAGTCAGCAAACTGAAAAGCAAACATTTTAACAGGATAATTGGAAATATGCAGAGACTCAATTAAAAGCAAGACAGGGAAATTTTGGGTAGATTTTACAAAGACCATATAGAAAGCAAAACTGAAATATTATAGCTGGATCTTGAACTTTATCATACAATAAAGACAAGATCTAAAAGAGTAGGTGTAATATTTACAGGTTAACCTTTCAATGCAGACCCCTTCTAATGCAATTTCTACTACAAAACTAATGATCTTCTCACTATTCCTGTAGCTAGCTCATAATGTTGCTAAGCCATATCTAATTCAATTTAGTGCTCCCACCTGAGCCATTCATTTGAAATAGTGAGTGGAATTCCAAAAGACTAAACACTTCCAGATCCATAGTATCACATCTGCTACAATCATTACATTTGTTCTTTCACTTGTTTTTACTTCTTCCTACATCAAATGTTGTCTGTCATTTTATCCACTTTATTAGAAGAAAAATTCAATCAGCAATGATTTCAATATAAATTGGTCTCTAGGTCTTTAGAGCCTCTGCCGGTAGAACTACCATCCTGAGCTTTGTTGGCCTTTGATCACAGATGTATGGCACACTGCCTCTCCCTAGACACTTCTATTGTTTGTAGCTTGGCATGCTGTAGAAGGCAGACGTGACGCTCCATGGTGCTTGACAGAACCATGTTTTATTCGTACCTTGCAACCACATGGTTAGATCAAGCACAACGGAAAATCCCGCTGAGTTTCAGAACTGCATCAGCTAGGCTAGGTAAAAGTGGGAGGGAAGATAGTAGAGGAAAGAAGGTACAGCATTCTGTGGTAAGAGGAATAGAATGTATCTGTGGGGAGCTGGGGTTCAACAGCATTAGTAAAAACAAGGGGAACATTCTATTTCCACTTTCAGCTACTGTTCAGCAGAACAACTGTTATGAAATATATGCTGAACATATACAATACACATGCCTATGTGAAAGAATAATTTTTTTCCAATTGGATATTTCTCTAATTCAGGATTTGAGGTCACAAGCTAACTAAGCCACTACAAAAATCTGTTATGTTGGGACAAATGAAGGACATGAAGGTATGGGGAAGTGAAGTGGGGGGCACTTGTGATTACGTGTTGGATGGTTACTTATAGGCTGGTAACAGGTTGAGTGTGGGACATCAAGATAGGTATATAAAGGAAAGAAATAGCTGCTGGAGAATGGGGGAAGGGATGATGGAGGGGGAAATATGCAGGAGGTGGAGGTGGGGCGGCGGTATGCTGGTAGAGAATATTGGACCAGATCTGAAAGGACGAGATGGTGAAGGTGGCAGAGGTAATGTATCAGGTAGCACGCAAATTTGTACTTACAGCCAAAATGGTGAATTCCTGCAAAAAGTAAAGAAGCACAGGAGGAAAAGAGAGACAGAGCGATTGCATTTATATTGCAGGAAGCAAAGAAAGCAGCCAATCCATTTGTACTAAGACTGTGCAGAAAATTCACTGTTAATTAGTTTAAATATAGATTTGTTGCAAGGATAACCTTAACTATTAGATTGTACCCAGGTAGAATACAGTACTAAAGAGAGACAGCCAGATAAGAGACCTAAAAACTCCCAAGGAAGAATTTCACAGCGCCATTACATTGAAGCCTCTTTTAAAACTTCAATCAACAGGTTGAACTTATTGAACTACAAGCTGGATTTAATGACCTTAATGTGGATCCTTTCCCCCAACTGGAGAATTGGCAGAAAGCTCCTGTTGCTTTCATGAGGGAGTTTCAATAGGACTTAGGTGGCCATTGTCAGGTCTTCCTGGAGATTTAGGACCCTGGAAGCAGAAGTCCTGCTCACCAAGAACTGCCAACCAAAGTAGACAACATCCAATTGTCTGTAAGTGCCATCATGGGCAGTGGCTGTGGATGGTAATACACCCATCAAAGGTCTGGGATCATTCAGGAGCCAGACCACTGATAGGTGAGGGCAGAATTGGTATTGCAGGGAATGGATCAAAAATGTGGGAGAGATGTATTAGAGGAAAGGACTAGTCGGTGGGTCTCAATGGTACCCCACTTGTCAATGATAGGTCCCTCGCCCAGGCACTGAATGTTTTTGAAAGAGGGATTCACTGGCAAAGCTGACAGGGTTTCTGAGTGGTCTTTGGGAGTCACATGAAACCCATGCTATCCAGAGCCACCACTAAATCCTGGTGAAATCATGGATCGTTGCTTTAGAGTGCCTAGCTAATGAGCTTAAGAAACCACAGACTGTTATCCCTGTATCAGCCCATTCCTGCTGTTGACTTGAATTTTCTTTTATTGCTTGCGAGACATGGGCGTTGCTGGCTGGGCCAGCATTCTTAACCCGTCTCAAGTTGCTGTTGAGGAGGTCAGCTGCCTTCTTGAATCTCTGCAGTCCATGTGCTGTAGGTGGAGTCAGGTTTCCTGCCAGCAGAAATGAGAGCCATTGCCTTTCCTGTGAACATGCTGCTTTGCTCATTGCCTAGTCCACTCTTATAGGATCCTTTAATCCAGCCCTACATACATTTATAATTAGCAAGGTGAAACTTTGAGGGGTTTTCTCAAATAAACGTAATTTTCCCGTAGCTATAAAGTGTGCCTACAGCATGCTTTTGGATATATTAAATACTCAATTAAATTTACTAGCCATATTTTTAATAATTATTGTATACTTATAAACAATTCCTTACATCTTAATACATTTATGCTTAATTAAAGTAGCTCCTGTTTTTAGCCTCAGCTTTTATTTTCATATTATTCATTCATTGAACATGGACATCACTGGCTCGGCCAGCATTATACATTATACCCACAATACGATACAGCATTCCCACAATATATGTTGCCATAACAAGCTCTGAAGAGAATTCAGTTCCGCGTGTTTTTATCCACTGCTGCACCCTGGAGAAGGAGGTGCTAACCTTGCTTGAGAATTTATTCTCCAAGCAGTTAATGTTTTGATTGGTTCACACATATACGTGGCATTCAAGTTGACGTATCAGCCTGTTTGTACAATACTACATTAATACAGACATACCACAGTTTATCAAATGACATGTGGGTTAGAAGGGAAAACAGCTGGAAAGTTACATGGATGTTTGAATGGGAATATGGAGTCTTCACTAACCATAGCAACAAAAGCACAGCTACACAGTTGCCTGAGGAACTAAAGGTGATGCCACATCCAGCACTCCCAGCAGGAAGTCTAGTTTACAGGCAAACTTTTTTTGGGAAGTGGTAGGTGGATTGACTGTGATTTTCCAAAACATGATTCGTCTCAAGTACTGAGATAACAAGGTGTAGAGCTGGATGAACACAGCAGGCCAAGCAG